CCTGCAGCTGCAGGGGTACGCTGGCCGGGTGCCGGGGGGGGGGCACACCGGTGGATGGCGGGGGTTCCCCCCTTTTCTTCGGACTGTGTTTAAAAGGGAGAGACCAACCGCGAAGCACCTCCCGTCCCTGCCTTTGACGTGCATCCCAGCACAACATTAAAACAACATGGAACAAGTGCTGCGAGCGGGCGCGGGGCGCTGCCGGCTCCTGCCCGCCGCTGCCTGCTCCTGCCGGCAGGGCCGTGACGTCACCCCGCTCCTCGCCCACCGCTGAACGCTAAAGACCTATAGAGCAGAAAATAATACAACAAGCAGGCTCCGTATCTTGCATGCCCTACGTGATTTTCCCCCCCTCTTTGAAAAAGCCCCTTTGCGCTTAAACTCTCTATACATGTGGGGTGGCTTTTTAAACTCTCTCTATACAAACATATTTATTAAGAGCGATGGGAAGTGGGGGGTAGCCTATTTTTTTAATCCAGGCACCAACCTCCCCCCGCCTCAGATGTCTGGCTGCTTTTCTTAAGTGCAATCATCTATAATTGAGCGAAAAAAAAAAAAGCCATACGTGGAAATGTGTGTGTGAGAAGGTGCATCTTGAAGCAGGGTTTAGTTACAATCGATCTTGGGGGGAAAATATTGCCTATGGTCCAAAAATAAGGAGCAACTATGTCCTTCTCTCAGTTCGGATACCCCTACAGCACCACTTCACAGGTAAGGCGAGTGAGCAGCACTCACTTTTGTTCAGATTCTGCTGCTGCTGTCCAGATGTCTTGTTCCCCCTCCCTTTTTTTCTTCCCTTTCCCTTACTTAGAGTCTTTTTTTAAAAGGGCACATCTGGAGCCTTTTTTTAAAAAATGTGCGTGTGTGTTTATGTCTCGTTTGTGTTGTGTTAGGCTTAAACAAATAACTCTCAGTGTGCACAGCAAAGGCGTTTAGGAAACCGGTAATTCCTCCCCCCCCCCTTCAGTTTTAAGTGCAACAAACAAATAAATACATAAATCAAATGCCTTCGCTTGCGCTAGCTGACATATTTACTGCTTTGTCTATTGTCAAATTAACTGTAATCGCAACTTCTTGCCTTTAAATCAATGCAAACGGACCGAGAGGGGGCGGGAAGGAAGGAGCCGTACGGATCTTTTGCCATTTTCGAGAGCAATTATTTCCTTAAAGTTTTGCCTGCTTGATTAATCGTGCCCCATTCCCAAGGGCTCCCGCTTCCCATTCCGTTCATTTCCCGGTTTCTATAATTAGTTGCTTCAGCCAGTGCTTCTATCCCCCTCCTCACCCCCACCCACCCCCCCTCGCACACGCATAGTCGCGCACACGCTTCTCAATTCGCCCCGATGGGGCTGCCTCGACAGTCGCTCGGCGCCGTCCCGCTCTCTCCTCTCCTCTCCTCTCC